TGTTTTCTTGTCCTTGCTCACTATGAAGAATTCTTCTTTTATTTTTGTCGAAGAAGTGAGTGTGATTACCATTGTCGGCCCAATAGAAATAGCCGAGAACCACCAGATCCATGATCATTCTTTGGCCCATATATATATATATATATAGATAGTGCTGTATTTAATTAGAGCTATGATATTATTAAAAGAATGGTAGTGTGACATTTTCTTCTTATCCAAACTAGGTTTAGTTTAGTAATGTTAAATTAAAGGTGTAAAAGTAATAATTTTATTGTTAATACAAAATATTGCTATAATTATCATTATGCGTATGGTTAGTGAAATTAGTTGATTACATATTTGTTGATTATAAAACTACCATAATTATCGATGTATTGTACTACCTTATATTTTCTTTTTTATGTTTTGCGCATCTATATACATTGGTAATTTTAATTTTATATAAAATAAGAGTATTTTTATTGCTAATAAAAAATATGACGGTGATTAATTTTTTTTAAGCATTAATACTATAATTAACTTGATTATAACTTGATTGAGTACAGAATTATCAAAATTATTGTACTTGGCTGTGATTTCCTCTTTATATTTTACCCTAAGCTATATCTGTATAATTTTATTTTTTGTTGACCTAATAAAATATTCAAATTATTGATAAATAAATTTTCATGTTACGTAAGGGATGAAAATCACGCATATTAATTTTTGAATTATAATATCTTACCATTGTAAACATTGCTATTGTAGTTTGCATTGTTAGAATTATTATTGTAATTAGCCTAATTAGTATGATATCTTGTTATTTAAAGAATGATTTGTGGAAGAGTGTTTTTTTTCTACCCAATCTAGGTTTAATTTATAATTTTAGTTATATATAAAAGTATAGTTATATTGGTAATACAAAAAATGCTACTCTAATTAGCATTGTTACAATTACTTTAATTTTTTAATAGTTGATTACAACTTAATTCACTACACAATTCACATAATTACTAATTCTATCAAAAAGAAAATTGTATTTATTATATTATATTAAACCTTTTTTTATTTCTCATTTTCTATTTTTATTTTTAATAAAAATAAAAAATAAAAGAAAAAATATGTTTAGTTGGATTTTAAAAATTATTTTTATTGAAAATATTTTCAAAATTGAACCCAAATTTAAAAATGAAAAAAATTTATTTTTAACATTTTCTTTTGAAAATGAGACTACTTGAAACGAGAAGAATGAAAATACAATGACATAATCGTAAATATCATCCAATATTAATTAAAACATGTTATATTTATCAACTCATGCTTTGTTTCGTGCTTCGTCTTCCTCTTTCAAATTTCTACTTCTCTTTTTCTTTGTTGCTCATGTGCTACTTGCTACAGGTAATTCTCTCATTCTTCTTTTTCTTATTTCTTCTTCACAATTGTTCATCCTCCTCCTCTTTATTCTTCCTTTTCATTCTTCCTTTTTACAGTGGTTTATATAACTTATAGCATGATTCTAATTAATGATCTAATATGATAGTGGTTAAATATAAAATATAAAGTCATCAAGGATATAATTGTAAATACAATTATATAAAAATTCTCCCTCTCTCTTCAGATAAATAAGATAGTGGTTACCAACTAGAGATTACAGTATTCTCACTATTACTTTCACAGTCACACAGTAATTGTAAAAGGAACTTTCTTTCAACCATGAGAGAGGAGCTAAAAGAGGAAAAAAGAGTTGAAAAAAATAACAAGGGCTCAACAACATCAAAGAACAATAGATTCAGGATAGTACTCTTTAAATCCTTGGTTGTATGAGAATTATATATTGTTGTGAGAACCACAAAATTCAAGATTAATGAGAATAGTAATTTCATAGTAGTTACACTAAAGATAAAAATTACATAATGGATTAAAATCTAACAATCGGTCTTTGACATTGATAGCTTCACATTTTCAACCATAGTCATTTCCAACAAGCTAAAGCCTAGCCTATTAGACCTTTCCTAAGCCTCAAAAGAACCTTTTCCATCTCTGTATTGGTTTTTGTAATGGCTGCAGGCTTCTCTTTCATTATGAATTCTAGGTCCAAGTCCATAACACCTAGCTAAAATTGAACTTGCTTAGCCCAATCATCATAGTTGTCATTGAACTTCACCATGTCATTGCTCATGTCAAACATTCATAGAGTACAATATTTAACACACTAAACATTTTATGCTTTGATAGACTTAATGGATTCAAACAATCAACCAACGTCAATTATGCATCTAAGTTCACTTTTGGGCAAAACTAAAATATACAATTTATCTATAATGATGGTAAATAAACAACTTTAATAGACAATCAGTCATTCAACTAATATGCAAGTCATCTTTGGATATGCAAACTTACTATAAAGTGCTTACATGTCTCCTTATTGTTACTAATCATAGGCAATGATCCATTTTTGGGTGATCTTCTAGCGTTATAATTAATAAACTAAATTGTTAACTCTTAATTTTATGTTACCATACAACATCATACATTTTTGAACAATTCACAACACATAATTAAAATCTTAAATAATCTTTTAAAACCAGGCCATTTTGGTGACTAACAAGCTACCCATATAATTAAGCATTAAATTATGAATTTTTCATTATGATTATATAATTTAGAATTAATTAACCTGAAGATTTAATTACTATGGTGAGTAAAATCTACTTTGATGTAATTCTAAAATGATTTATAAACTTTAAGAAGTTTGCTCCTCATTTTGCTGTGAAGTCACTATGCATAGTCGTGCTTATACTTGATGCATGGACGTGCTTCGTTGAAGCATGGCCATGCTTATTTATAATGTATGGCCCTACTTCTTAATGCATAGCCATGCTTATACTTGATTCATGCCTGTACTTCGTTGATGCATGGTCGTGTTTATTCTTGATGCATGGCCCTGCACACTATCCGAACTTCGTAAATCATGTGCGTCACATAACAGATTCAAAACTTAACGTTTTTAGCTTCCAAAACCTTAGGGTTTTCAATTATTGAATCCTAACCAATCATTCAATATCAAAATGATGATAATCCATCATATAATCATAATTATTAGCTAACCTTAATCATCAAAATTCCTAGGGTTTATGTAATTTGGAAGATAAACTTTAATGGAGAATCAATCATTCACGGAGAATCATGAAATTCACAATCAACTCTCTTATACCAACTATTAGATTTTAATCCATTACGTAGTTTCTATCTTTGGTGTAACTATTATGAAATTACTATTCCTATTAATCTTGAATTCTGTAATTCTCACAATAATATATAGTTCTCACACAATCAAGGATTTAGAGAGTACTAACTTAATATATTGTTCTTTGATGTTACCTCCCTTTGATGTTATTGAGCCCTTAGTATTTTCTCAACTCTTCTTTCCTCTTTTAGCTCCTCTCTCATGGTTGAGAGAAAGTTCCTTTTACGATTAATGTGAGATTGTGAAAGTAATAATGAGAATACTATAACCTCTAGTTGGTAACCACTCTCTTATTTATCTGAAGAGAGAGAGGGAGAGTTTCCTTATAATTGTATTTGCAATTATACCTTCAATGACTCTATATTTTATATTTAACCACCATCATATTAGATCATTAATTAGAATCATGCTATAAGTTATATAAACCACTGTAATAAAATTATTAAAATAATCTAAAAAAGGTATCGTAACAAATTGAGTTACCTCCCATAAAATGCATTAATTATAGTCTTAATTAGAAAAATAGTATAGAGGTGTTAAGAAAGCTTTGCTCAAAATAATTTGTCCAACCTTTATCACTAACCTTAGTTTTGAAGAAAATATCAATCATGATGTAACTTAATTTTGTTGCCTTAAATCATAAAGAATAATATTACTTTGATAGTGTAAAAATATTATAAAGCTACATGTCCTCAAACAATGTACATAAAGTTGGACAAAGTTTAGAACTTAAGCTTTAATCTTGAACAACTTAAAAATATTGAGTGTTTTTTTTCAATTAACAAATGTTGCAAAGAGTCACAACTCAACCCTTCTTGTGTATTATACATCTTTCATCACTCCAATTTATTTTCACTTTTTTTCTTGCTATAACAGCATAAATGATTCTTCTCCTCTTTGACATGTCCTCTCTATTAATTAGTGTTATCTTGGATTGTTTTTAAGATATATATTTTTTATTTTATTGACTTTGTGATGAGTTTTAAGAGGAGTGTAGTTTACTAAAAAAAAATGAATTAATTATAAGTTGAGAAGACTTCTAGTGACAACCTGATGTAGATTCCTAGTCGCAAATATATTTTGTAGAATTTTTTATGAATTTTAAGAGATGTGTTATTTACTAAAAGGAGAAATAATGGGGTTTGAAGGATCTTTCGTCACAACATGATAAGAATTCCAAGTCATAAATACACGTTTGTAACAAAATTTTAAGAAAAATATAATTTTTTAAAAGAAGAATTAATTATAAATTTGAAAGGAAATTAATAATAATATGATTAGATTCCAAACATAAATGCACTTTCTTTAAGTCTTTGTGACTAGTTTAAGAGAAACATTATTTATTATAAAGTTTAAAAGACTTTAGATTTTATAACAAATTTTTTAATAATGTACATTTTTAACACGTTATTTCTAATAATTTTTTTTATTATTTTGTGAAATTCATATATAACCTATTGATGATATTAGTTTTACTCGTTGAAATAAAGGATACAATTTAGGCGTACTTCGTTAAATATTTTTAATATTATTTTCTAATTACAATTTAAATTTTATTTTAATAACTCAGATAATAAACAAAATTGAGATAACATTAAAAATATTTACGAAAGTGTACATAAATTTATTTTTAATAAATTTCATTTTAGATTTAATAATTCTTACCTAGGAAATATTGTAAAAAAAAGGAACGAAAGAAAACTTTGACATACTAGTTTCTTGGGGTTTTAACCCCATCTATCCCGCAAACTTTAATAGAACTGAGAAAAAAGGAATCAGGAAATGGGTGGGGTTCACACAACATTGATTTGTACTCTACTAAGTCAGTGTTTGATGCTGCCTACATTACAACGTTATGACGGGTAGGAGTGGGAACTTAAGCTGGTGGAGTCATTCCAAAACGGTAACTTTGATCTGGCTCATCTCTGCATTCTCCTTCATCACCTTGTTCCACATGGTCCTCCACAACTCATTACAATCTCTTTCATCAACTTCTTCGGGTAATTACTCCCTACTCTCTCCAATTTTGCATATTCAATTATCATTTGTTTTGTTTTTATGCGGGTCTGTGTTTCCAGCTATCATAGATTTTACTTTTGTAACAACTGTCCAGAGTTTCTTTAATTTGGGTCATTAAATTTTGTCGGATTACTAATTATTGCTCTTCTCAAGACCGGTTTGAATAAATTGTGTTTTTGTTGTTTTTCGCTTAAGGTAATAATTCATAGTAAAGATGTTGCCTTCGATGAGGTTCTTATTCAAAATTTGATTCTGGGTGGAGATATATGCGAGTTTGGTACTAAATTAGAAAGGGTGTGTCTCAGATTCTTCCAATTCAAACATGGAGCAAAGATCCAAGTTATATGAGAAGATGGCAAGAGATCTGGATGAGCATGGAGCTGCTTTTCTGAAACATGGTGAAACATCTCAGTCATTGTCCCTTTCAGATATCTTCACCCTTAAGGATGGATCTGTAACGCCTGTATTAAAGGTGACGTGTAACAACAATTTAGGTCGTGTTTTGTGGAGTTGTTTGGGAAGCAACTGATGATTATTTTCCATGTGCAGCCTGCAAATCCTCCAGTGCGAGCTAATGTTTTGTATTTGAGCACTGAATTCTCTGTCCCCATCGCGTAAGTGTTGATAATTGGATTCAATGATCATTTTATGCATCTATGCATGGATTTTATTAATGATCATTTCATGCATTTATGGTTGCTTACTTTGGTTTTTGTAAAACACTAGTATTATATGCTGGTTTTGGCTGTAAAACACTAGTGTTATATTTAATAGAAACTGTTAGTGGGACTGGGAGCGAGAAAATGGAATTTTCACCATTAAAGGTGCCCTTAGATAGTCGTTTTAAATTTGTATTCCCTCTTTATCTGATATAGGCTGCATCATCTAAGTGTTTCTGGTAAATTCTTTTATTTGAGTATTTTGAAAACTTGCATTGCAGACACCTTATTTTAAGTGACCTTTGCTTTTTTATTTTAAGTTGTAAATCTCCTTATATAGGGCACTACAGTCCCCCATTTGAACACCCTTGAAGTTTAAGAATCTGCAACCATAAATAGTTTAGTTAATACTGGTTAGAGAGGCTAGGCCATCTGCCATGCCTACAATCATTTTCTTTGTCAAAAATCCATCAAAACTGTGTTCCCTATGTTTACTGTTTTCTACTATTTAGGACCAGGATTTATTATGTCCCTGACTCCTCTTTCTTCTACAACTTTGCATCTCTTCTGCTAGTATGCTTAATAGACAAATCTTAATGCATCATAATGAATATGGTGCCATTTGGGCAAAAAAATAACAATCAGTTGCAGTGATTTTCGAAGAATCAAGTATCATTTTGAAACTCAATTAGGAAATTGTTAGATTTTAAATATTGATGTTCTAAAATTGATTCAGACAAAAAGTTCATCAGTTTAAAGCTTGATTATATCCATATTATCCTTTTACTTTCCAGGCAAATGGGAGCATGGCATACCAAGTTTGTAAATTACTATGATCATTTACTTTCAGTTTCATATAACCTTCTTTATTGTTGTATTTTTCTTCTTTGATTTAATTGTTTTATTACTTTATGTCAAGCAATTTCATATTAGTATGACACACATATTTTGCATGACACAGGGAGGCTGTCAACAATATTTTTAATCCATACTTTGATAAAGGTATTGTTGGATCAACATATAACTTGGCAGTGATAGCAGAATTCTGATTCAACCTTCTCTTCATCTTATTTTGATTTTATTGATTCTTACATGTGTGTCAATTAGCAATCTGGTTTCAGAACTCTAGTCTGTACCATTTTAGCATGTTCCATGCCTCCCACCATATTGTACCTGTACCCGCCACCAAAGAAGAGGTATATTCTTCAATTGTGGATGTTTCCGTTTCTTCCAATCAGTTTGCTGACCTAACTCATGGGAATCATTTTTGTGTCAGATAGAAGCTGAAGCATCTTCTGTGGAAGCTGTTGCTGCAACTCTCTGCCCTTTGAAAATTGTTTTGGATAGGGTTGTTTTGACTTCAACCGGGGTGCTCCTGGCTTGCTGGCAGGTTGTTTTCCATAAGCTAAAGTATTATAGAATTGAGTCGTAAAATGATAGGGGAACAACAGCATGATACTAGAAAACATAATAAACACAGTGGAAATAAATCTCTCAAACTTGCGAGGAGTAACACAACAAATAGAAAATAGGTAGTAAGTTTTTTAACATGGAAAACCCTAGCAAAAATCACTAGTTGTCAAGACCAAATGAACGGTTCCATTATGATCAAATAAGGGTACAAGAGAGTCTTTATCAAGTGCACAAAACAGTGATAACAATCATCCAAGCAATAAAGCTTGCAAACAAGAAGCATAAAGATGAAGAAACCCCAAAAACAAAGCTATTGTACGCAGAATATGTGAAACTATTTACTCCAATCACCAATCTAATAACTGAAAACGAAAAATCACATGTCTTGAACATGCTTCAAATTTCATCCTGATTCTACAGTGAATAAATTTCCAGTCATGATTTTATGATGACTGCTTTGGGTTTGAGCAAGAATGATTTTTTTCTCTTCTCTCTCTTGAAAATGACCTCTCTCATAACCTATTTAGACCCCTCTTCACTTACTAAGTGAAACATAAAATAAGTTTCTTATTGAGCAAAGGGAGTTTAATACTCGACACTTACATGGGCCATATTCAATTCCTTGATACTAGTGTCCTGCCCCTCCATCCCCCTTCTCTCTCTCCCTCACTCTTTCATACACCGAAAAAAAGGCAGTGTGCCAGTGTGATATGTTGAGTCCTGTCAAGTGAAGTGACAAATTATAATGGTGAAGCTTGTTCAACATAGAAAATTACTAGCTTTCGGCCTTATTTGGTTCGATTTTCTATGTTGTCTATTTTACAACAAAAGTCAAGATGTCTATAGGATTTTTTCTTGTATGATTCATTCAGTCTTTTTAGGTTTACTGATTCTGTAAATTTTTTGGCATTATTTTTTCAGTTAGAAGTAAACAGAAAAGCTTTATATGTTATTCACCCTTTTAGATAAAACCTTTTGCTAGCATATTTATGGATTTGGTGAGTGTGAAGTTGCATATTTTCTTGGTTAATTTTGAAGCATAGGCAACTGTTGAAACTGTCAACCTGTGCATCAATCAGTATTTGGAAAAAAATTTGAAACCAGTAACCAAAGAATATTATGTTGAATTGTATCAGGGTTAAAATTTCAATTTGCATTCACGATCTGGACTAATGATTTTATTCTTATTTTTTAGGTCATCTCAGGGACAGATCCCATAACCATTCGTTCTAAGTTGAAGAATGTGCTTCCACATGCACCACAGAAGCAACTTGTAAGCATCATTTGAATAATCAGTTTTGCTAGTGTCAGTGCAAAAAAAAGTATATTTTCTAAGGCTTGAGTCAGTACTACCTTGTAAAGTTTCAAGAAGGAATTTGAACATTTTGTTATCCATAAACATGGAAGCACTGGAAATCAAAACAGGGGTCCTTGCTTTCCTTGATTCTGACATCTTATATGCTGTGTGGCTGGATTAATCTGAGATGTCCTCTTTAGAATTCTTTCATGATGTAACAGTTTCCTTTTTGGACTCCCTATTTTATGTTTTTTTTGGCATGTTTGGGAGTTAGATTTTAGAAGGGAAGGGAACAAAGGAGAGGGCAAATTTTGTATTTCTTTATGTTAACATTCTTTAATTTCATATTTTTTGAAATAAAAGCCATAAAATGATAGATTAGTATAAAGTTAATTTATTAATCTTTTATTTACTTTTATAAGAATTATATAACTCTTTAAATTTTAAAAATAAAATTTTTGTTCGTGCTCCTTTCTCCTTCAAATCTGGACTCCTAAACATACTATTAAGTTATTTTGGTGATTTTTAATCATATATGCCTTTAAAATTGCATTGCTTTGTGGGGTTTGATGATCTGATCTGTCGTTATTTTCGTCTGCAGTATGATGCTGCAATTCTCCACACGTCATTGGCAAGGCTTTTGGGTCCACCTAAAGCATCATCGCCTACGGTAACATGCATTTACAGTATTTGTTGAAATTTATTAGAATTAGTTGTTAAGTGACATCGTCGCTTATTTAAGAATTGTATTTGATCTTGACTTCGACATCAGCACAATTGTTCGTTACCTATAGATAAGAAGTAACAATTGTTAACTTGTTATTGCTTTATAGAAAGCCTATAAATACAAATTGACATCAATTTATTTGAACTATTTCACTCTACTTGCAATAATTCTTCAAATTTTATCAATTTTTCATTTTCAATAAATTTCTTACTTTTGAATTTTTAAAATTATTTCATGTAACTGTTACGAACCTCCCAAAAATTTGTATAAAAAATTAAAAATTGCCTTCATGATACTTCCATTGAGAACTGCCTTGGTCCCAAATATTCTGGCATTATAATTTCATCATTGCTGATGAAGTGACCACGGAATTTCTTGTTAGATAGATGGCTGTATCGGATTAATCCCATTTTCCCACTTTATTCGATTATTTACTTTCAATTATTGTTATGTGCAGGAACTGCCTAAAACGTCCAATGATGTCCAATTTTTCCACGAGCTAGTTAATCAACTTAACCGTCAGATCCGTGGATTCAAGGTTTGTGATTATTGTTATTTTATGCGTTTGTGACAATTGGAAGTGCGTTTTAAAAAGTCGAAATCTAGAGGCTTTTTTAGCAGTTGATATTGGAAATGCTTTTCATATTGTTCAATCCAAGGACCTGATTAGATGGGGGCATATGCATCATTTCCAAAATTCGCGGTATGCATTTCCATATGCTGCAAAACCACCTCTCTCTCTCTCTCTCTATAGCCTAGTAATAATTGACAGGTTCTTGATAGGGCAATGGTGAAGTAATCAAAATAATATAATTTTTTATTATAATTGTATTAGTAGTGTATTAAAAATATGGTAGAAGTGTATTTATTAGATTTCTATTTTTTTTTTTATTTTAATTTCTTAACCTGTACGTTTAAGTAAGTGATAAATATTTTCTTAATGTATATTAAAAAGAAACTATCAAGGTGGTTCTCCAAAGTTATATGCATTGTCACACAAATCTTCAAAAATTTAAGAATCAAATTAGTCTCTTAAAAATCTAAAATGTCAATAGAATCATCTTGATAAATGATTTTTAAGGGAATAATTTAGTAATAAATTAAATGAAACTATAGAGCGATCAAAACTTTAGAACAATTAATAGAGGGATCATGGGTAACGTTGGAGGATGATAAAGTCGAGCATTTACTCTTGATTTACATGATTTTGCTTCATATATTCAGGCTGTGGTGTCAGAACTCTGGTACGTGGAGGAATATGATGTGCTTGCCCTTGCGCTAAATGGAAGAATGAACATTCGCAAATTCAAACTCGGGTGCTCAAGAGAATGAAGCTAGTAGTCTTACACGCACGCGTTTTAAATTAGTGACTGCAAGCATATGCACTAACGGGTAAAAGAACATACTATGCAGAAGTCACCATGATGTTTTTCTTCTTTGAATGAATTATTAATGAGTCTAAATGTATGATGTCATAGATGGCTATATTTTTATTATCATAGAATAATGTTGTATATGGTCTTAAATTTCTATTTGTTATGCGGTTATCTTTGCTGATATCTGCCACTAGTGTTCTGATTCCTGTGTCGTGATGTCTACAAGCTAGAGTGGGCTTTTCACCTGGACTTTTTAATGAATTTTGTTGTTAATACTAAAATTTGAAAATTTAATTGGCTTAACCAAGATTTTAGTCTCATAAAACTTCATAATTTATTTATTTATTTTATCAAATATTTTTTTTAATTTTTGTTTTTCAACCGGTTCCTTTAAATATTATAAAGATTTTATTTGGTTTGTCTAATTATCACAAATTTTGTATTTGATTCTCCTTAATCTATTTTGTTAAAGAATATTTTGTGAGAATTTGAGAGATGTATTTGAAAAAAAAAAAAAGTAAAAATGAGATTAAAACAATTTGTGAATTTTTTAGAAACTTAAAATCTTAATTGAAACGTTTTAATTTTATAAAAATAAAATTTAAACCCTAAACATTATGGAAGCCACACCATTTTAAGTCATGAGAAAAATATTAACAACACAATTTTAATAAGTTTTTTATTAATTAATATTTAGAACAATCAAAATAATCTTTAAAATGTGATTAGTTTATGAAATGTATATTTTGCATTTTAAAACAATTTGTAACATCCTTTATTGAATTAAAATCTTCAGAAAATTTTAAGAAAAAATTTTGTTTTGTTTCAACAAATTTAGGAGGGAGAAAGGAAAAATTTATTTGTTAAGTAATTTTTTTATATGAAGTTATGATACCAAATATAAGAATTACTGTAAAATTTTACTGTACAAATTACTAATTAGAATTTAATTTAGATAAAAAATTATATAGAGAATTTAGTTGATTAGGCAAGGAATAATGTATACATAATGGATTTTTTATGAAAAAAAAAGTACCAGATGTACTAGAGGACTATAGGATTCAATTTGAAAATTCATAACAAGTGAATAGCAAATCATGTGGAGACCAAAAAAGAAGTCAATATAGATGCTTATAAAGGAAGAATAGATCATGTCTTTTCAAGTTTAAAAGAAAGAATATATCATATATAGTTTCAAGTCTAATTTTAGGTAATATTTTTTACAATCCATTATGAGAATGATATTAGGACAATTTCATCTTCTTTTATTTCTTTATTATCTAAAAATGTTTATAAAAATGAGTATCATCCACCCTACTAAATTTTTATTTTATAAAAATATTAAAATAATATCCAAAATATTTCCTAATATAACAAATATCAAAATAGAAACAATTCATTTATAAAATTTTAATTAAATAAAAATTTTTCATACACATTATTTCACACTTAACCAAATACCATCATTCAAGCTTTGAATTCATGCCACTTTATTCATTTTAATTATGGAAGATTCGCTAAATAACGATACTCTATATACTCATAGGCCCCTCCATTGCTGCAAACATACTTTTTCTAGTTATGAAGGACTTATGCTATCATGAATAGTTGTTAGTTAGCCACTATACATGGATACAATGTGCGTGTTATGAATGTGTGTGGGGCCTATGAATGTTTTCGCTACTAATTATGTATATATCAGTTATTAGCATTCGTTACCCTCATTTTTCCCAGATTTTTCAAATTGCCTTTAAACTGTATACTCCTAATGTATCTTTGAACTATCCATATGAAACCTCAACAGTGCACACTAGAATCATATTGTTTACACCAATCAATATTGTCCTAATACATGTAGTATAATCACACTAATTAAAATATTACAACATGTGTTATAATTTCATTGGTCGATATATTACAACATATATATTATAATCACATCAATCGATATTTTTATGAAACATGTATTAGTTACTCTTTTTCCTTTTGCTTACATTTTCTCAACAATTCACATGTATTCACATCAATTTCATTTATCTCTTTTTCTTCATTCATTTCAATGAATTATGTCTAAATTAAAGCACACCCGGACTTAGTCCACATTACATATATTGAAAGAAAACATTTTAATCATGTTAGATCAACCAATCATGCATCATCAACTTTTCGTGACAGTTAAAAACCTCATTTAAGCACGTATTGATGAAATAAAGAAACATATCATCATACAAATTAATATAATGTGTCAAAAGTTGAACACCTTCAGGTTCAGACTAATTGCACAATTCATACGCAATATTGCCAGATATCACACTCTTTTAGTCTTAATAAAGTCTTCTAGTTTAAAGTTTAGCATTTTCTATTTTCATTCTCCAATACGTATATTATTTACACACGTGAAAATCAATAGCTAAATCATAAAACTTCTTAAAACATTGTTTGTTTATAATTATTACTATAAAATTTTGTTTCAGGTAATTCTTAAATCAAACCATAGGTTTTCGTGTCAAAAATCTATTTTTAACATTATACTTTCAAGAAAATACTTTAGATCTACTATTTAAAATAAGGTATTTTAGGTTTTTTAAGGTAAAACATAAAAATAAAATTTAGAGTTTGGAATTAACTCTCCTTACCTGGAAATAGATCTCCGAGAGAGAGATCTAGAGGAAAGCTCAATGTTTTGATTGGAGATACTACCCAAAAACTAGAGTATTATTATTAAAAGAGAGAACAGAGAAATAGGAGTGGGATAAAATAACTAAGCTCTGAAAACTTACTTGGATTCGAATGGAATAGGCGTTCGATCTTAAAGAGATTCAAAGTTCAAGGAGGTGTTCTCTAGGAAGACAAGAAGAGAAAATAGAGAGAATAGAGAGGGAGAGATGGTATGGCGTATAATGAAATTTCTCAACGTGATATCTTTTAAATACTCCTCAAAACCCACAATTTCTCGCTTGAGCGAGATCATTTTCACCTAAGCAAAAAAAATCAGACATTGGTTTTTCTAGTCTTTTCTAATATTCTCACCGAGCGAAGGATATTCTCGCCTAAGCGAGAATGGGTCTAGAGAGTTACCCAATTTTTTTGCAACTTTGCTTAAGCAAGACCCTTTTCATCTTAGAGAGGAGAAAGTTGAGGTAATATTATCCTTTCTTACTTAAGCGAATCTCATATAGCTTGAGTGAGACTCATCTCGCTTGAGTGAGAATGTCCTAAAATGCCTAGTTTGAATACCTTGTCTCGCTTGAGCAAAACATATTTCACTTGAGCGAGACACCCTGCATATATCATTAAGAGAATGTTTCTAAAAGAACTTTCTTGTCTCTACTTGAGAGACTCATCTCATTAAATTATATTTCAAAAACTTTACAAGGGAGAAGTTACATGAGACATTACATCATCTTTACAGGAATAAGAATGAGCTCCTAATATCTATATACAATAATAAAATAATATTGTAATAAATAGATATAGTTTATATAGATTTACATAGCATGGTGTCTCCTAATCAAGTACTAAAGCTAAATATAAAAGTCTACACATTGTTGTAGCATAAATAACTTGGCTCAAGTCTCTTCTACCAGAACTTCAAATAGCCATAACTAGTCCTTGTATAGTATACTATCACAACCTTAGTGTTGATCTTTTGGTTGTTAATGATATTCTTCACTAGAGAAACAAACATTTTGAGTAAGTTTTGTTCAACATAATTATCTCTAAGAAACTACAAGTTCATCATATTTCTTTACATAAGCAAAATGCAAACATTTTCACAAAACCTATAACTCAATCAATTTTTCATAAGTGTAAATAGAAATTCAAAGTGCATGATCTACATTCATGAGTTTGGAAGGTATGGTGTAAAAGAAATGTTAATGTCCTAATGTTTAGTGTTTTCAATTAGTTGATTAGTTAGTTTGTATATTATGTATACATAAGCAATGATATCATTTTGTTTAGCTTGTTACATCTCTTTTTTTATCCATCAATTTCTTTTCCCCTTGTAATTATTGGTTGAATACCTTTATACATCATTGTGATTTTTAATAAAATTTATAATTCTTTTACTTTAGCTATATATATGATTACTACTATTTAGGAAGACTCATAATATAATAGTAAACAAAATATAACATAAATTATGTTTAATTTCTTCAGTAATAGCAGTAGCAGCAACAATAATAGCTAGAGCAACAACAATATAAATAGTAACAAACAATCAAGTCACCTTTGATATATTGCAAGATATAATAATAGTTATTTTTTCTTCTTCTTCTTTTTTTCTTTTGGGTCTTGTGGTTTTCTTTTTTAATGGGGAAAGGGTAACAAATTTTAGGGAACATAACAATGAAAAAGATTCTATAATGAAGAAGCCATCGGATTGCTAACAAATTTACTTAGCTAAATCAAGACCCTAGGAAAGGATAATGCAATAGTTGTCCAAAACTCATTATGTAAGTACTTATTAAGTTTGTTTTTTTTTCCTTTTTTCCCTTCATTTTTATCTTATGGAAAATAGTAGCTCATGTAGATATATGTATCAAATATCAAAAGCATTCTTATCATATGCTAGGTAAGGTAACTTGGTATCTTTTTGTTTAAGTAAACAATGAAAATGCTTTTCTAGCCAGTCAATATCATTTATCAAACATTAATGGAAACTATATTTTTGTCTTTTTATTAGGATAGAACGTACTTTACAACATAAATATATAGGTTTGGTTGTTCCTTTTAGTACTTATCATCAAGTTGTTTTATCGGCTCCTAAAGTTATTGAGTTGACGCCAAAACCAACCTTTACTCCTAGTAAACCACATGCTAGGTATCCCACCCCATTAAATTTATGGCCATTATAGTTGCTTGTAGAGCAACTAACTTTGAGTTAACAATAAAAAAAGAAAAGAAAAAATAATCATAAATAAAATGAAATAGATTTATGCAATGTTGTGTTTGGATATTGAAATGAAATATAAAAGAATAAAATAAAAATAAATGAAATTAAAGTAAAGTAAATTTTAATTGAAATAAGTATTGTTTGGATTGATGAAAATGTGAAGGAAAATTATATACTTAAATTAAAAACCACGTTATTCTATAAATTTATTTTCAAAGTAAGTGGTGTAGCTTTTTTACGAGGACAGTAAAAATCACGTCGTAATGGTTTCAAACAAAACTAGATTACTCAAATAATTTTGCAATATAGGGAGCAAATATAGGTCATCTCACAAGGACACAAATTCATTCTCTTTATAATTTTAAACATGCAACGGT